GGGGGGGGAGCATCTGTGGGACAAGTGGGAGGGGTGGCTTTAGTGCTCTGCAGGCCCCTGCTCCCCAGGTCCCACTAGACATTGGCACTACTGTAGACAAAAGGCTATTTGCAGTGAATTTGAGGCTATCTGCAGTTATTTTGGTTTTTAAAATTAATACCTGACTTACTAAAGTTTCAAATTCAAAAAATTCACTAGGTGACACAAATAGCTTATTAAAATGCACAGATACAGTGAAATGTCGGAACACCTCAGGAGGCCTCTGATGCGTAGCCTCTGAACTGCATTTGGAGTTTAATACAGTCTGTGTTCTTAAATGCCTGCCCTGTGGAGCACATATTTGTCTGGCAGAATCCTTACAAGTCAGATACAGAAATAAGGTGAAGCAAACTCTTAAATATCCCAGTATTGTCTCCATGTTCTTTCATCTCGTGCCTTAACCCAGGGGGCCACCTTTTGTGCTCAGCAAAGATTAGCTCTGGCTTCGACTTTTAAAATGAACATAGCTGAGTTGCAAATTTTAAATGTGGCTTTCCCTTAGGCTTAGAGATATTCTCTGATGGAACCTTGATCAAGACTTGATCCCCCTGGCGTTGGCTCCCCTAGATGCTGTCTGGCAGAGGCCCCCACACCCCTGGCCCAGCACTTGGGACCCTGCACAGTGGTGTGCCCTGCAGGGACCAGCTGTGTGGAAGGTGCCACCTTCTTAGATTTCAGCTGTGAACTCAGCAGCTTTGTTGGTGACAATTATGACTGGGATCACAGGCTAGTCCAGACACTGATTAGACAGGGAACCATGACAATTCTAAAGATATCACCTGCCCTCTGAAGGGCTTCCTTTTGAATCTTCCCACTGAGAACACCTGTCCTCACCATTTTGGCCACAGCAGCCTCCTGCCCTGGATGCTGCTTCCCCATCCTGAGTACCAGCTGAGGGCCCTCTTTCATCCTGGCCTCCAGGACCCATGTCAGGCTCCACAAATACACCATCATGGAAAAGGCTAGCCCCTGCTGGACACAGTTCTGGGCGCCTACTTGGGGCCAGGGAGCCTTGAACAGCTCGGGCTCACCTTCCCTGGGAAGCAGTGTAGGTCTCTGATCAGACACCAGGACCTCGGGTAGCCTGTCAGCTTTGACCAAGTAACAAACCAACCCAAAAATCAGTGGCCAAACAACTGTATGTTTGGTGGGCCAGCAGTGTGGACTGAGCTCAGCTGGGCTTGGTTGGCCCTAAATGGCCTCATTTGTGGCTGGGGCAGCAAATGGGACTGCATCTCATGGCCAGTGTCCAGCAGGCCAGCCCAGGCTTTGTCACATGGTGGTCTTGGGCTTCCAGAAGCCCTGAGGAGGACAAGCATCTGCCCACATCACATTTGCTATTGTCCTATTGGCCAGAGGAAGTCACGAGGCCCAGCCCAGACATCACAGGGTGAAAGCCTCCGTCAGTGCCCTAGGAGAAGCTGCAGTCACATGGCAGAGAGTGTGGACACTGCAGGAGAGGGTCAGCAGCCATCTTCACAGGATGCCCTTGAGCATCCCAACTCAGGTGGCAACATGGTGGCAGCCCTGCTCTCACAGGGTCATGTTCTAGTGGGACAGAGACGCATGAACTTGAGACCAGGGTGACATGATGGGGATCGGGCTGCTGTAGAGTGAGTGGCCCCAACACTGAAGCCCAGCCCCAGAGGACAAGCCTCATGCAGAGGTCCAGGGAGCTTCATGCTCTTAATGCTCTGAGACCCTGGGGTGAGATGCGGGGCCCTGAGACAAGAAAGTGAGGGGGTCCCCAGGGGCAGGGACAGGGAAGCACAGACCTGGCCTGTAGCCTGGATGGGTGTAAGGACCCAGGCTGAACAGGCCCCTGGGGGAGGTGGAAGATGGGGAAGGCCCCCCAGTGTTGCTGCAGATAGGCAAGCCTGGACATACAGATGTAGGAAGCTGGAAATAAACATAAAATCATCAAAAATCAAGTAGATATTTCAAACCCTCGGAATGCTTGTAATATCCCATGAAGGAAGGTGTGAGGGGGGAGAGGGTGCTGGACAGAACTGGGAGCCCCCACCACCATCTGAGTAGTGCTAATAGAAGTGCGAGCCACATCTATTAATTCTAAATGTTCTGGGTGCCACATTAAAAGAAAAAGATGAAGTTATTTTCACTAATATGCTTCAATTAACTCAACATAGTCAAAAATGTTAGTATTTAAACATGTGTTTGGTGTTTCTGAAATTCAGTGAGATATTCTGCATCCTTTCTTCATACCGTCTTCACAATCCCGTGCGCTTCACACTTGTAGCACCAGCTGCCTTCCAAAGACCCAATGGCCGCTGATGGCTGGTGCCTGCCACCTGCCCTGTGGGACAGAGCAGCCAGCGAGGGAATGACAAGTGGCCTGGCTGGGGTGTGAGGACTGGGCATGTGGCACTAAAGCAGAATGGCTGGAGAAAAGGGTAGTGAGAAGGCTGCAAGCTTCCCCAAGCCACACCATGGGGCAGGCTGCCGGGTGGGTCTGCCTTGCTGGGTCAGAGTACCAGGAGAGAGGTACCACTTCCCTGAAGGGGCCATCAGGGAGTGAACACAGCAGGAGGGGAGGCTGGCTAGAGAAAGAGGGAACTTGGTAGCCACGGGCTGCAGGGTAGAGGCCTAGTCTGGGCAGGACAGAGCTTATAGCCACACTCCACCCGGCAAAGGATGGAGGTTAGAGCATGTAGATGAGGACTGGGGTGGCAGAGGGGCTCAGCTAGCACATGGGGTCAGAGGGCTCACCTGCTGCCTTCCCTGGTCACAGGATGGAGGAGTTGGGCCTGCACCCCGCCAATCGCCAGGTGTACTTTGGACAGCTGCTGGGCATGTGTGACCAGATCAGCTTTCCACTGGGTGAGCTGGGCTTCCCTGGGGGTGGGGTGGGTAGGGGTGTCAGGGCCGGGACTCACTGCCTCTGCCTGTGCGTGCAGGCCAGGCAGGCTTCCCTGTGTACAAGTATGTACCCTATGGCCCTGTGATGGAGGTGCTGCCCTACCTGTCCCGCCGCGCCCTGGAGAACAGCAGTGTCATGAAGGGCGCCCGGCGGGAGCGGCAACTGCTATGGCAAGAGCTCAAGCGGAGGCTCTACACAGGCAACCTCTTCCACCACCCAGCCTAGCGCCCATGGGCCGCCACCACCACCACCGCCACCACCGCCACCACCTGCCACCACACTTGGCCTCCCAGGGCCCTCAGGCTGGGACAGGGATCTGTGGGGTCTGGGTGGTCCCTAGTCCGATGCTGCTATGGCCCAGCCTCACACGGCTTCACCTTCTTACACCCAAGACTGAGACCTGCTCTGAGTGGGGCCTCTGTGACCTCTGGTTCCTACCCAGGATGTGGGAACTCAGGTGTAGGCTGAATCTGATACCTGCCAGAGCCACTGAGATTATCAGGAGCTACCCTTTGAGCGGGCACCGCCCTCACCTTTGTCCACCCCCATGACCTTGGACCCAAAGGCCCACTTTCCACCAAGGTATAGCCCACATACCTAAAGCCCCACAGGTGGCCAGTGGCCAGGCTGAGGAAGGGGGGCTGATCAATAAACCACTCTTTCCGCAGCTAAGAGCCCCCAAAGCCCTTTCCTATGGGCACTCAGGTGGGTCAGCATCAGAGGGAATGGCTCCAGTGGCCTGAAAAACCTCACCTCAGTCTCTGCCTCTGCCAAATCATGTGCCCCCAGGGGCCCAGCCCACAGCACCCTTCAGGCTGTACCGCAGACCCCACCAAGCAGGGTGCTGGACAACTCCACAACCCAAGACAACAGCAGGGCCGTCAGGCTCAGACCAACGCACCCAGGATAATCCCAGGGGTTAGTGCATGGTGCTTCCCCATCCTGGGTCTCATCGTCCCTCAAACCCTTCCTGCCACCCTGTGCCCATGACCCACACAGGCTTTTGCTGCTCTGATAGGATCAGGCCCATAGAGCAGACAGATAGGTGATCCTAAGTGGCCCAGGGGAAAGGTGGTGGGACTGGGCTTGCGGCTGCACAAGGAAAGCCCCAGGGAGGGGCCTCTGGAGGCCATGGAGCTACAAGGTGAGGATTCCAGCTGGGCCCTGGTCATGAAAGACACCACAGAGCTGTCACACAAGCCACTTGCAGGCCACACTGAGGCAGCTTTATTTCTCTGGCTCACACAGGGTTTGGGCCATGAAGCCTCTCCTACTTGGGGGCTGCACCTACCAAGAGAGGGGCTGAGACCAAAATAAGCACAAAGCCTAGGGCTTGGCAGAGGTCGAGATGTGCTTGGTGGAGTGAGGTGCCAGGACCCCTATCCCTACCCTGTGCCCAGCTCTGAGGCAGAGAGCCAGCAGGCTGGGCCCACTCTCCCTTCCACTCTAGCTTTAGACATAAAAACCCATACCAAGGTGGGGCAGACACAGCCTCTCCTGGGTCCATCCTGCCTCTCCTCAGAGGGGTGACCCTTCCTGCAGGCACCTGGGAAGGTGGTAGCCAGATGTCAGGAAGACGAATTCCTTAGTGTTTTGCTACCTGTGGTGACAGTGGGACAGGGCTGTCTTCCCAGCCAGGATGGGCAGTGGGTAACTGGCAGGGACCCCACCTGGTCACAGGGCTGCCTTCCCCGCCTGGAAGCCCCTTTGTTGTAACTTCCGGATGAGTTCCAACAGGTTCATCTGTAGTGTCAGCTCCTGGGATGCAGAGGGGCCACTGTGAGGCCAGAATGACACCTGGTCCCCTTTTGCCCCAGCAAAGGGGCCAGAAGCAGATATCCGGGCCTAGAGTGTGCCAGGCAGTGAGCCTGTGGGGCTGCCTCCAATAAAGCCTGGCCATAGTCTGCTGGAAGCTGATTACAGCAGCCTGGAGTTGCCCTGGCTTGGTGCACACAGAGATGTATGCAGGGGAGCTGGGGAAGGTGAGCGGTGCCCTGCAGCCTGTCAGTTGGTCCTCGTATGGGCAGAGGAAGTGGGACCAGCCTCTGTGCTGAGCATTGCACAGAAACCCTTCCTGGAGCCTAACTCCCCCCATTTCGCCTTCCCCACCCCCACCCACCCTGCCCGGGAAACCAGCCCTAAAACCCTAGATGGAATCTGGCCTTTGGGAATTAGCATTCCCTGGGCTATGCCAGGGCAGGCCCAGGGCACTGACCTGTGGGTTGGTGGTCACGTAGAAGCCAGCAACCCCTGCCTTCTCCAGTGTGCTCTGTTGGTCCGCCACCTTCCGGTCCAGCTCCAGGATGATCTTCTGGTCCATTGCCCGCTGCTCCTCACGGATCCGGTGCTCCATTGCCTGCCACAGTGAGGGCAGCTCAGGAGTTCAGCCTCAGCCCATCAATGCCTCAAACACAGGGTCCTGGCCTGCCACTCCCCACCCTTCCAAAAACAGGCTCCAAGACCACTGATGGCAGCCTTACTGCACCCAGATCATTCCCTTGGTGGCCACATCAAACCCTCCAGAGGGGCTTGGCTGCCCTCCCCTAAATCCTCTCCTCTCTAGGACCTCCCGTCAGGTGTCCTCCCTTTGCTGTGCCAGGCCTTGCCCAGTGCTGACAGCTCAGGGCCACCATGAACTGGTGAGATGCTGGTGCCACCTCTGCTTACTATCAAGCTGGCCACCATCTCTGGGCATTTGTGTACATACTTCCCCACTGGGGCTGCCTGAGACTCCAGCTCAGCACCTCCTCCATGCATGCCCGGCCTTAAGGCTGCCCCGGGACCCTACACCCACCTGTATGTACCCCACTACCTGCGGCGTCTTGGTTACATTCAGGTTTCCTGGTTGTCCCTGAGTAACCTGGGAGCAGGATGGGTCCCTACTGACTATCCCTGCCACCCCACCACTGCCCTTGCACCTCCAAGGCCATGGGCACAATGGCCCCTACTCAGCACCTGCCTTGCACAGGCCCACCCACCAGGAGCTGCAGTCTCAGGGAGCAGGTGGTGGGGATCACACACTCTCCACCTGGTCCTGGCACAATCCAGTACCCCACGGTGAAAAGCCACATGCCTTTTCCCCAGACCTTCAGCAGCCCACCCCAGGCTGAGGCTCCCAAGTCACCCCGAGCCCCTCTACCATGCCCATCAGCAGAACCCAGCTGGTGCCCACCCTGCCTGCACCCATACCTCCTGCTCACGCTGCTGGGCTGCCTGGAGCACAGGCAAGTTGTGGGGTCGGCAGGCCTGCTGGGCTTCCTGGTGCTTCTGCCGCAGTGCCTGCCTAAGCACTGGGAGGGAACAAGAAAAGAGAGTCCATCAGGAGGCGGCAGGGGCGAGATGGAAGGGGCAGGGAATATCTCCCACCTCAGCACCAAGCTGAGGCCCAGGGCAGCCAGGTGTAGATGTGAGGCCCCAACTGGTGATCCAGCCACTCCATAAAGAGCTGAGTGGAGCTCTGGGAAACACCCAGTCCCCTAGCCCACTTAGTCCTGCCCTCATCCAGGGCAGGGCCTTTCTCCAGCAGTGAGGTGCCAGGGGACTCAGGAATGTGCAGGGCACTAGAGGGTGAGGCAGGGCAGGCTGGCGTGGGGGTGGGGCCAGGGCCAGGGCTGTAGCTGGACTCAAGAAAGTGGGCGGGAAACAGGTCTGGAGGCTTCTGGGCTCAAATGGGACATCCGCTGAGATGTCCAGGAGACCAGCCAGGCAAAGGCCTGCAAAGGAGGATGAGGAGAGGGGTCGCTGCCTGAGTAAGGTGTGGCCTCTGCCCGAATGTTCCAAAGGACACACAGCAAAGGGTCTAGAGAGTTATCAGAATTGTCCCAAAGGGAACCAAGCCTCGGGCTCGCTTCAGCAGCACATAGACTAAAGTTGGAACGATACAGAGATTAGCATGGCCCTTGCTCAAGTATGACTCACAAATTCATGAAGCGTTCCATGTTTTTAGTAAATAAATAAATATGATGAAGTACATTTTATTTAAAAAACAAAAAGGAACCAGAGCTCCATGGAGAAATGGCGAGTTCCTCTTTAAAAAATTATTCCAAGTGCCCTATTTGCTCCCCAAACTACTAACCTCGGTGGAGATAAAGATTACCAAAACAAGAGCACGTGCTCCTTATTGACAGCAAGAGTGAGCCACCACCACCGCCTGCACCTGGCAGGGACTCAAAGGCAGGAGTGGAAAAGCTGTATGGTGGCCAACGGGGAAGGTCCGTCCTAATGGGAGGTTGGTTAGTGTGGGGAAGCTGGAGGTGGTCTGACTAGAAGAGGGGCTAAGGCAGGGAAAGAACAAGAAAAGATGAGTCTGAACACTTTCCTCTAACAGAAAGCAAGGAGGTACTCAGAGAGTGATGGGGACACATCAGAGAGACACAGGAGCCAGGTTCAAGTTCTCCCACTGGCCAAATGTGGCACGATTTGGGCATTAAAAAGAAAAATGATCTATCTTGGATTTGTGAGTGTATGCAATAGAAAGATTTACAAAGACAACCACCCAAACAGGGAAAAAGGAATACTGACCCTACACAAACTCTTCTGGAAAACTGGAGAACACCTGCTCAACTCACCCTGTGAAGCCAGTATCACCCTGGTACACAATCCGAACAAAGACACAAGAAAAAACTACAGAGTGATGTCCGTCAGGACCACAGAGTCAAAAATTCTTGAGATTTTAGCAAATCAAATCCAACATAGACAAAAGGATAAAACGTCATGACCGAGTAGGAATACAGTTTATCCCAGGAATTAAAAAAAAAAAAAAAATCAATGTAACTCACCATAGNTAATTAAAAAAAAAAAAAAATCAATGTAACTCACCATAGTAACCAAAAAGCTACTGATCATCTCAATAGAGNGAATTAAAAAAAAAAAAAAAATCAATGTAACTCACCATAGTAACCAAAAAGCTACTGATCATCTCAATAGAGGCATAAAAAGGATTTGACAAAATCATCAATTTCTGATAGAAACACACTAATTCTGGGGCAGACGTATATCGCTTGTCCCCATAGGGAAGAGACCTGTATCACTAGAGGAAATTTTGCCACAAACATTTAACCTGCATATCATCAGGCTCTACCTGCTCTCCACTCTACAGGAAACACGGAGGGTGGAGAAATACATTAAATGACAGCCCGAAGAAGCAATATGACAGATCCAGAGTGGGGACATTCTATGGGTAGAATGCCCTGGAGTCTTCAAAAGGCCAATGCCACAATAAATGGGGACTGTTCCAGAAGCTGAGAGACCAAAGTAACCAACTGCAGTGCATGAATCGACACTGAATCCTTATAAAGCGACAATTTGAGATATTAGGTAATGTGACCATGGACTGAAGGTCAGAAGACGCTCCCGAATGATTATTTCTCAGGAGGCTAGTAGCCACTATGGTTACATAGGGCAGTGTTATTGTCCTAGAGCACTAGTTCTCAATCCTGAGCTAAAGTTGACCCCCAAGGATGTCTGAAGACATTTTTGGTTGTCATCTGGGGGAGGGAGACCCCATCATCTAGTGGATAGAAGCCAGGGATGCTTCTAAACATCCTGCTAAGCACAGGACATTGTCTCACCATGAATACTTGTCCAGCCACAAATATCAACACTGCTGTGGTTGAAAACCATGGTCTAGAGGAATGCTGAAGAGGCCTGGTGAAGCCCTCAGGTGTTGCAGATATTCAGGGATATAAAGAACTCCAGCCTAAAGTTAATTATTGAATCTGCCTGCAGGGCATACGGGTATTCATTATACTATTCTCTCAACGTTTTTATAAGTAAGAAGGGGAACAAAATAACAAAAGTAGGAAATCCGATGGGGCAGGGAGAGCTGCCCAGCATACATTGCAGGAAGGGGGTGGGGGGCCCCTCACCCCGCCCGGAGTGAGGACGCCTGGAAGGGGCTGAGGCTCATGAATCTTTGACCCAGTGCATAGCTCAAATGGGTACGTTTTGGGGTACCAAAGGGAGCCACAGGTCACAGTGCATGGGAATTAAATGCACAGTTGGTGTGGGGTTCTGCACCACAGGAGAGGGAAATGACCATAAAGGGCGCTGCAGAGCTGTGAACACTTCGGGGCACCATTGGGGGCGGTCAACCGCTATGCGGACCGCCACCACCAGGTCTTGGGCCATCCTGCCTGAAGGGGGGCGGGAGCACGGGGGAGCCTGAGCAGGAAGTTTCCGGGTGTTATGCTAAAAGAGGACTGGTGCAACTGACAAAATAAAACTGGCGTGACCCATCTGTTACCTAAAAAGCGCTAGCAAGTGCTCGGCCCGCAGAGACCGAGAGCTCCCAGGGCGGGCTGACCTCCCGGAGGAGGAGCGTGCGCGCCCCACCGCCCCCGCTCACCTCGGTGCTCGTTCTGCAGCCGCAGGCGTTGGTTGTACAGGCTTTTCTCGGTGAGGTGCTGGATCTCCAGCAGCCCCTGCACGATCTCGAACACAGTGCCGTCGAGGAGCGCCTGGGCCAGGTCGCTGAGCGTGGTGTAGGACAGGCGCTGTTGGAAAGAGCTGCGGGCAGAGGGGCGTGGTGAGCGCGGGCAAGACCCGCAGCTGCCACAGCCGCCCGCCCCGCGGCCGCGCACCTGGGCAGCTCCTTGACCAGGCTCTGCAGCGCCGACAGCAGTTGGTAGTGACGCTCCTGCTGCCGAGTCCCATCCGCCGCCTCCTCGAAGGCGCCCGCATAGCGATCCATGGCCCCAGCACCCACCAGCCGCCGACGCGAGCGACGCTCCCAACGCTACGTCACTCCGAGCGCGGCGAGCCCCGCCCCCTTTTACGACAGTTCTGAGCAGCGCGCGGCCAGCCAGAGGAGGCTCGCTCCGCCCCTCCGCGCAAGCGCCTAGGAGGGTCCCGCGTGTCCCCGCCCCTTACCGTGCCTCCAGCCCAAGTAACCGCAGGGGCTTAACTCCGCAACCCCCAAATCCAGAGATTTGGAAGGAGCCCGCCGGCCAGCATCGCCAGCGTGGAGAAGAAAACCCAGTTCAATGCCTCATTCCAACCTGGAGAATAGATTACTGGGAATCCCCAATTACGCTTTTAATAAACCATAAAAATCTATATCCCCCCTCCCCCCCCAAAAAAACACAAAAAATCCCCGGGACTGCTGAATATTCTGCTGGCTCATGCGGGCCCAAGGTGGGGGGTGGGGGGAATTCCTGCTTTAGAGAACTTGCATTGTCCAGGGAAAGGGAGCGGGCTGAGGCGCCTGGCCTGGAATGTGGGTTCTTGACTTGGGGCAGGAAAGAAGTCAGGAGACGCGTCCAGGTGATTTTGAGAGTGTGTTTATTAAAGTCGGGGACAGTGAAACAAAAGAAGGGCTTAGGACAGAAGAAGTAAAATCACAGTAACAGAAGTGAGCCTGGGCTGGGCGGCCTAGACTTACTGAAACGCAAAAGTCACTGTGACAGAGGTGAGCCAAGGCTTTTGACTCACTGAAAAGTTAGGCAAGAGGAGGGCCCTCAGAGCTTAGGAGGAAGGAAGGGAAATTACACAAGCCTGAGGAAAGGGGGTCGGAGAGCTGCTGGTGTCCTTTGTCCAGAGTTGTTTTTTTTTTAAATCCATTTTCCGTAGGCAGGGAATTTCTGGGAAGGGCTCATTCAGAATATGCATCAGCTTTGCAGGTGTGTCCTTTAATATGCTGATACATCAAAATGGGCCTATAAAGGGGTTTGGAATCTTTATCTGGTCAGCTTCTGGTCTACCTTGGATTTGTTAGACTCTAACTAGGTTTTTGGTTATTTGTTATTACCCTGACTTCACTCCTTCTTGGGTTTGATGGGCACTAATGGCACTCACTGGGTCTCTGTTACCTATCTCCCTAACCCGCTCTCTGGCTGGGGTGGAGAGATGTAAACCATCTGCTCTTAAATGTCTTTGGTTAGAGAGGCTAGGGTCTTGTGATTTATTAGCTCTGTTAATTGCTTGGCGGTTTGTTTAACTATTTTGTCTCCGTTTTCCTCATTCCACTTGTCAGGGAATTTCCTGGCTTTTGCTGTACAGCAAAATGCCAAAATAGGCAGGATCATGGGGGGGGAAAAGACCAGAAAGAAGGCTTGTGTGGTCAACTTGAGAGGATGAATCCAAGTGGCCATGGAGGAAATGTCCAGACCCCTGGGGGCGCCTAGTGCCCAGCGACCCCCGTGAGTGTCATCGGGAAGGACGCGAACGGCGGCCTAGCCGGGGGCCCTTCCCAGTCCTCTCCGGAGGGCCTGTGCCAGTCCCCGGCTTTCCAGGAGGCGCCTCCGTCGACTGGGCCTCCGAAGGAGCCTTCGTATGCTGGTCGACCCCCGGCCCCCCCTAACCCAGCCCGGGAGAGCGGCAGCGGAGACCCCGCCCTTTCAGGCCTCCTGGAGTCCACCGCGGCCGCATCCCGTCCTTTGCAGGCTTCGCCGGGGGAGACACTACATACAAGCGGCCGCCAGACGGCGCCCGAGAGCCGGCACGAAAGTCAGCGGTGGGACCCGACGGCGGCCGCGG